TTTATTCTCTAGACAGCAGAAATTTCGTTCAAAATCGTTTCTTTTAGAGGAGGTGATAGTCGACTTTCCTTACCCATGCGAATGGAAATTACTGCAAAAATAATGGGTTGTAACAAGCTAAGTCTGCGATACTATGTGAGTAGCGACGGGAGGCGAGAAGATCAAATATGTTTGATAGCCGAAGCCTCTAATGACACAAAAGTGATTTGAGCCTGAGTAGTCTTTTCGAGCCTGAGATATTGAAAGAGACAAATGGGACAAACTTTGGCTCGCTGAGTGGAATTCCTAATGTGAGCAAAGAAGCAATAGCACACTGTATCCAGTGCAAAAAGAACTAGCGCACCTCTTAAATAAAGTTGACATGTTCGAAAATGAGAAAAAATCCCACTTGAGTAGCCAAACATTTGAAAACCTCAAACTTCGCCGAAACTTGGCCCACAGGGGTTATTTGACATGCTAATCTGCTGATGCTGCTCATGCTGATGCTCTTATGCTTTTCGGCTCTTTTGCCGTGCTTACTGTACATATACGATGGCAGGCCGAAACATCAATGCATTAGTATCTTATATAATGGGCCTATCTGACATTATGCCTATCATTCGCTAACATCATTAATACCTCGATAACGACTCCCGACCCCCCGATACGACCCCCCAGGTGTGGCATACCACACCTCGCACTTGACTCTGGTTGTGACCGGGGCCTGGCACAAGTCGGTTTCTAGGGTTTCTGAGGACGAAGTCTCTCCCTGACTTTGGAAATTTCACGATCTTCCCTTTTACCTGCCGATTTGGAGAAGATGAAGACAAGTAAGAGTTATATTCTGAAAGAAAGAACGTGAGATAAGGCTGTTAGCATTGAAACGCGATATCTAACAAAGCGACTTACGAAGAAATCAAGGCAAAATACAAAGGAAATGCAATGATATGAAAGTGTCTTCATGTTCGGGGATAGATTTTTGACCGGGGAATCCGTCCATGATAGAAAAGCCCAAAACTTATATGTGAACTTGGCAAAATGTATGCTCCAAACAATCTCAGATCGTCTGGTGCTCGTCTGGAAACGGACTAATTTTGGAAAAGGTATTACTTCACATAAGTTTTCGGAATTTCTTACGTAATTCTACTGCTAATAATATTGTATGCCTATACTTCAAATTGTTGCCATATGCTTGTCTCTACGTTGTAAATAAACAAACTATTAATTTTGGTTGTAATTTCAAATCGCGCTTTCCGCAAGACACGGAGCGCGTCAATCATGTAATAACCAGCCTTCAAAACTTGTGCTTGATTCAGTGTTGCTTTTGGCACTACAGAAGTGCGTTGAGCTGTTTGGCACACCGCATGTGCAATTTCCTCCACATACTTCGCTAGTAACGCATACACAATTTTTTTATGTGTGTGTGTGTGGGAGGAGGGGAGGGCTCGCCCGGACTTCGTAAAACCGTAACGATATCCCTTTGACATTTGTCCCAAAAACGAAGGCTAGCCTGCTTTCATTTGATCTGTGCCGGACCCTGGTTGTGACACTTCCCTCCTAGTACTTGCGTAGGAGCCACTCATACAAATACATGCCGTACGTACGTTCTACAGAGCGTAAAAGCAATTTGATTGATTCCTTTCATTTGTTGAATTTGAAGCAAAGTCAGCCACACACTACGAGACTAATAATGATTAGACAATTTGGGCCTCCTGTTTGAATGATGGAGGTAGCAATGGCGTCTCTAGCTCAAAACATAATAAAGCAAGCTCGACAGTACAGACAAGCGCAGCATGTTCTTTATAGCCTACAATTTAATATAAATACTTTTTTGAATTTCTCACGTATTCTATGTCGTCAAGGGCAGAAATCACATTTATCGATGCTTATTGCAAACGTTTATTTGCGTGGGAAAACTCCTTTATGGCTTTATAGCTCGTATGCAGGTCGTGCCTATGCTCCGCGTTGGAGTTAAACAAGTGAAGGGTGGTCGACTGCCGGACGAACGCAGATAAAGCTGCGTTTGGTCGTGAAGGTCGGTGAGCTTGTGGCCAAGGCTCACGCTATATGTCGACAAGACTATCTTATTTTCTTTTTTTTTGTCAACGCTTTCTTGCAGTGGGCTCCCAACATTCCCTTCGGAGAGGAACGATTTGAAAAAAATCCCGAATAAAGGTGCATGGAGTTAGCCCGTATTCCGCAAACTTTTCGAAGTGCTCCCTAAAATTTTGCAGGCTCATAGCCCCTAAATTTTAGAAGAAGGGGGTGTGGCGCTAAACGCGCCCTTGGAAAAATTTGTTTTCAAAGCTGTTTGTTATTAAAAATTTCAGAAATCATTCCATTCATTTACAAGTGCAAACAAGTCACTTGCACATTTTTCTTTCATTCTCTATAGTTCTTATAAGTAACTTTCAAAAATGTCGCGCCCATTCTCGAGCAGGGGGGGGGACCTGTTACCTTGTGGTGTTGTACTGTTTTCTCAGTCATGATCGCTGCCAGCAAAAAAGCCCTTTACTTACCCTTTGATTCGACGGGGTGGGCGACTGGAGGTGGGACTTCGAGGCCAAAGCGCGCCCACGGGACCTTTTCTCATTTTCAAAAACCGAAGGTTCTTGCAAAGGATGATGTGTAGGCACAATTCTACTACCCTATTTTCAGGTGTATAAGCCGCACCCTTTTTGCTCTAAACGCGAGCAGACCCAGGCGTGCCGCCGCGCATATGTCTCGCAAAGCGGTCGCCTTATCGCATACTGCTCTCACTTAACGCGCTCCATGATGACAGTCAGTCTTTTGGCGTGTTCGCCTTTAGAGCGAAAAGGGTGCGGCTTATACACCTGAAAATAGGGTAATTGATACGCGCAGAACCCTGTTGTACACCGTGCGGTGCCACTGCCATTAAAAAACACGCCCGCACTAAAAATCCAATCTACTGCACACAGGTAAATCGCGTAAGTTTATGTATAACAATTACTAAGAGCAAGGCATTAAGATGAAAATTAACTGACACTTTTGAAACGAGCACCTGTTATCAAACATAAGCAGCGTTTGTGAGAAATCGAGTATAGTGACCTTACATCGTATATATTCACATCCATAGGCACCACTCGATAGAGCAGCTAAGCGAGTTTCTCGAGTTTCCGTTCAACTGAGGACAACGCAAAAATATCTACAAAATGCAAAAATGGCTGGCAGACGTAAAAAATTGTGTCTATTGTGCATGTATCTGTTCTCTACAGTAACAAATTGTTTTGATTATCTGCCACCTCGTAATTAGCGGACTGATTGAGCTCGATGAAGGTTATCCAAGAAATTCTTGCAGTTATGGATTCCTCATTCCTCGTTCGGGAACTTCCTGCAGCTTTCGGCTAAGATAATGATAATCAATCATAAACTGACTGTAAACTTTGCCCGAGGTTATCAGACCAGCGAACATTCCAGTCATATTGTACTAAAATGTCTCAAGCAGAGTTATAGTGAAGAGATATGTAGTGAACAACAATTGCCCACGTTCAGAAAACTCAACTTGAATTTTGAAGGTTAGATTCTCTGCGGACAGCGCTACATGATCTGCTCAACTCCGACCTTTATCTGTACTACTCGCCAAATTATTAACTTACAAAATCATGTTTTGTTTATACCAAATTCAAAGACGCAATCACTTCAGAAAGTTTTCCGTCAGTTTCATGTTGTTTTTGACATCGCAGAGTATAATAGGGTTTTTCATACTGCCGCACCAACCACAGCAGCCGCAGCAGAATGCGGCGGGTAGAAGGTTATATGTCGCCCAGGACTCGGCACAACTGGCACCGGGTCAAGCTGGATATCGTTTTTGGGGCCGAAAGCAAAGCGGATATCGTTTTTCCGGGGTCCGGGCCGGAGCCCAGGAAAAATTGCAGGTTTTGATTGCTTCCGCACTACCGCTTATTCCGCTCCATAAGATCAAAAAGACTGCAGAAATATGCAACACAAACGAGGTAAAGACAAAAATGCAGGCGGTATGCCCGGCTGCATGCCAGCGGCGGGAATTCAAATTGCGCCGAAAACAAACAAAGGCCTTATTTACAAACAAAACGCAATCATATGACACCAAATTTGGTGTGTACATGCGCGTTGGGGACTCGAACTACAGCCTGAAAATCTATGAAAACTTATGTGAATGGAAACTGTGCCCAACTTTTTTCTGAATTAGCTGGCACTGTATCAGCTGGGTGCCAGCTGAGCTGGCACCGGCCCTTTGCCCACATAAGTTTTCGTACTTTTCTACATAAAATTTACAGTGTAAAATTTTACATACGGTGAAAAAACCACTTCATAATGTTATCTTTTCGGCGTTTTATAGCCATCTGAAACTTCTCGATCTTCTTCGTAGTCGGGACATCTGCTCCAATCACAAAGCGCGCCCTAAGCAAATGCAGCGCGAAGTTTGCCGATTTCATTTCGTCACTTCTTCTCAGTATTTGAGTCTTGGATGAGGATGAGCTTTATTTCAACAATAATTTGTGGTTTCTAGTATTAAGCGTGGCTCTGTTTCTGTGCAGTTATAAAGCAAGTACTATTTTGTTGTTTGCTACTCGCGCAAATCTTTTGTTTTACTGTTTCCGTTGCTCGTACATTTTACATATGTTTTTTTCTTTGAATTTCCTAATATATATTCATTCCAGCAAAATGTCAACAAGCTGGGGAACTCAGTATCCGAAGTTGAAGAGAAATCTTCAACTTGCAATCAACCGTTTGAAAGTGATGGGCAAGAGGAAGAGGGAAATGGCAATGAAGGCACGTAAGGAGATTGCTGAATACATAGCATGTAAGTCTTAGATTTTTTGATGTGGTATTTATCAGTCTTGTCGGTTGGTTTTTATCCTTAAACCCTTTTTATGTTTTTAATCGCTTATGGCGCAGTGAAATTATTTTGAAGAGGAAATTATCTATACGTCTCATATAGTTTTGCTCAACATATCGCGTAACATGCCAATTTATCCCGGAGCACAAAATGGTTAGCACGATCTCAATTCTTGCCTTATTTAGTTCCTCCTGCCTGCTTCAGCGAATGGTTTTCCGTACTTGATTGTCAGTTGATCGCTTATGGTCTGCAAACAAACACAAAATTTGAAGCACTGAAAATAAGTTGGAGCGCTACCTTGAATTCCTGGATGTCATTGGCAAGTCTTGGGGCTGCCCACATGATGCTGATAACAGCTTCAGCAATACCTTCATCAAGTGTTCTGAATAGAAATTATACTTCTGAGTTATATTGGATTGGACGTGTCTTACTTCATTTGCTCAATCAATCCAAATCCGGCGAGTAGAAGATCGTAGTACATCTCCTGTATTTCGAATGCTTCAACCAAGTAATCCTCGCGAATGATGTGCTCCACCCGTATTTGAGCCCGATCGGCCTTATTTGCTGTAAAAAAACAATGAGATTTAGTTCCGAAGCACAAACTGGTTTGCTATTCAAGTGTTACGCTAGAGGGATCAGTCCCTAGAACATATGGAAAAACACTGAATGACTATATATGCCTTGAAGTAAGTAGTCTACACTCTCTTGGATTCAGTTTTGTTTCTGAAACAAGCATAACAGATGACAGAAAGTAGTTTTGGATCCAAGCTCGATTGCAAGAAAAGAACCGATCTTATCAACAGCTCAGAAAACTTACGGAATTTGTTCAATGAAATCAGCATGCGTTAGAACCTTGTTACATCCTTTTACAGAATCCAAAAATAATGGCGGGTCTTCAAAACAAGTCAAAGGGGACTTCGTAAAATTTTGGAAAAGTCAAGGGGGACTTCGTTTTCAATATTTCCTGGTGCCAGCTCGTGCCGAGCCCTGATGTCGCCGACAGGTTTCACCCGCACGTCCCTCCACCAGCGGCTGGTACAAATTCTACAATGTCTGTAAGGCGGCGCCGCGTTATGGAGCAAAGCTACGCCGGATTTGCCTGTGGTATATCCTGAGAGCCCTTTGCGTTGCATCGCTCTTAAATGCAGTCGCAGAGGATCTAGCGCTACCGAGAGAATTGAGCCATTTTCCTCACTCTCCATAGATAAAAAGATCAAAATGTGAATGATAAACGCATTTCAAGGGTGAACCAATTATAGAGTATGAGAAGGAGAAGTACCTGCAAAGCAAGCCAAGAGAAAGTAAAAGATAAGTAAGAATTTCTCTTGGACACTCATGACGGAAAATTCCTATCCTTTTTCTCTACTAACTCATGTTCCACTTTTCTTGAACATTTTAAACTCAAATCAAGCATTGGATCATCTCAGATTCAGCCATTGGTTCATCCCTAGAAATTTATTTTTTCAATTTTCAAAATTGCCTTTGTTTTTCCTTGTTTTCCTTATTGCATCTTTACAGTTTCAAGATATCAGGTCGTGGTAATAGGGAATGGCTCAATCCGCTGGCAGGAGCAGCGCTACTTCTGCGCAATTAAAAGCGACGCAACGCAAATGGCTCTTAGGATATACCCAGGGGAACGCGGCGTAGCTTTGCTCCATAACGCCTGCCCCCGTCTGTAAAATGCGTAGCTGCGGCGTCTCTCACGATGTTCGCGTGGAACCACCCTCTGACAACTTATAGTCCTCTACGTCAATGCAGCAGTGTCAATAAACTACTTTGCGGAATTAGCTTTTTTCAACAGAATTAATCAGTACTTGAACATAGTTCACGCGTGTAGCTTGGAAAAACCATGGTTAAACGTGCTAGAACAACACGCATGCAGTTTGTGACCCTTACTTGCAAAATATGTATATGGTGCATTTTTCTCTGAGTCAGGAGAGGGAGTATAAGAGGAGATGAGATAGCACAGAAATGCTCAAAATCTCCGAAATGTTTTCACTACATATAACAGTGCCAGTGCATTTCGAACGAAAACAATACACATTTACACCGAAGTATTATCGATTTTGAGAAGATACTGCCCCGGGACATGAAGAAGACCAAACTTGCAGCAACAATCAATTCAATTCACTGGCACCCAACGCTGCAGTCAATGCGGTCAACGCGATCAAGGGCAGCGTTCCGGACAAAACTCTAAACAAAATTATTTTCGCTTACCTGGGTATATTCTTGCCGCTGATTCCGAAAATACAACTTGTAGAGGGTTTGTGAGACTGCGCGGCGTATGCGACGTATGTAGCGTAACACATATGTATGAAGCTATCGGACATACGCTGCGTATATCGCGTACACCAGGTGGACCCTACGTTTTCATTGTGTGCGATATGCGCACTCTATCTTATCCCGCTCATGGCGTAACTCTCCCGGCTTTTGGAGCATTCGCCTCCGGTTCGAATGCGCCTGCGATTGGGGATGGTGGGCATGTTAGGGCGCCTACACTTTTATCCAACGAGAGTGGCGGCTCGAAGGTGACCGCTCGCGTCTGCGGCGCAGTCTGCGTCTCTCTCGTAAGCGTGCTTTCTCTCATCATTCCCCAACCCTAGTGAGGTTACGAAGCTCCGCCTTCCAGCCGCCAATCTAGTTGAATCTAAGGGTATTTTCGTTCGACAGCGAAATCACAAAACCCCGAAGCTAGCCCGGACACTGCCTTCGACGAAATCAGCCGAGCACTTAATCGCTCTTAAGCATAAGCATGAAACGGCAGCATGAAGCGAGCTACATATGTGCTTTCTCATATGCGAAATTTGCGTGTGCGCCTACTCACAGTTACAGCTCCAACTGCTTGTGTGCTTGCTTTAGGTTTCTAAAAAACATAAAAAAACTTATTGGTGAAAGTGCGATTCATAGTTAGACAAATACCCCATACTTTCGAAGTTGTGGGACTCTTTGGAAAACACTCAAAAACCCGTTGGTGCTAGGTGAAAGAGCATAAAGGCAGTGACTCGGCAAAACCAAACATACCATAATTTCGATATGGAAGATTGTTTGCATCCCAAACATGAGAACAGAGCAGGTCTGAGCGCACAGCATGCGCCCCCGCCTAGAAATCCCTAAACCCGTGCGCGCAAGCCATTCTTATAGGCGCTCGGAAGAGCTTGGAGATTCCCCTCCAACCTTCAGAGGCGGCGTGCCGCAATGTTATAAACATAGTCCCGCAACGACTCTATGTCTCTAACCATGACGTGAAGCGTTACATCGCCTGAATGCAAAATGATGAGCGTCGGAAAATGCAAGTTTTCGCCGTTTTCGCACTCTTCAAGGTGTATTTTCGGAATCAACGAAATACTCAGGTAAGCGAAATAACTTCAGATCGATTATTTGCCGAGCCATTGCCTATAGGCCGAAACGGTATACGCGGCACAAGAATGAAAATCAGTGTCCGTCTTAGGAATGTTTTTGCTACGAATCAAATTTCTGGCCGTTTCTATTAGGTTGTCAAGAAAATAATGTCCGTTTTTATTTGCTTGCTTTAACAAAGCAACCAGACTCAACCCAACAAAGGGTAAGGGGTACTGTTCGATAGAACAAAGCAAGCTCTACAAGATGGTACTCATGCCTTTGCGCCAAGCTCGATCCACGGAGAATTCGAACTCAAAATCTAAAGATTTCCAAATGTCCAAAAAATCGAAAAAAATCAGATCTTCGTCCAGATAATTTCTACGGACCTCCCACTCGCTCACATCAATACTATCGATATCTGATATCCATATGTGCGATTGCCGTATTTTTTCCTTGACTAGAAACTGAGAAAACGAAAATTTCCCTGATTTTCTCAAAGCAATGCTGAGCCGTTTTTGCATATGTAGTTCTATACTACAAGCCTAGGTAAGCATAACTGTAGGTTTTCAGCCTATTTCGAGCGGTACTTTTCGAGAAATGTCGATTTTAGCATTGAAACTGAAACGAAAAAATCCGAATTCGTTATTTTTCGAAAACTACCGCTTGGAATGGGCTGAAAATCTACAGTTATACTTACCTAGGCTTGTAGTATAGAACTACACTTGCAGAAACGGCTCAGCATTGCTTTGAGAAAATCAGGGAAATTTTCGTTTTCTCAGTTTTTAGTCAAGGAAAAAATACGGCAATCGCACATATGGATATCAGATATCGATAGTATTGATGTGAGCGAGTGGGAGGTCCGTAGAAATTATCTGGACGAAGATCTGATTTTTTTCGATTTTTTGGACATTTGGAAATCTTTAGATTTTGAGTTCGAATTCTCCGTGGATCGAGCTTGGCGCAAAGGCATGAGTACCATCTTGTAGAGCTTGCTTTGCTCTATCGAACTGTACCCCTTACCCTTTGTTGGGTTGAGTCTGGTTGCTTTGTTAAAGCAAGCAAATAAAAACGGACATTATTTTCTTGACAACCTAATAATTATACAAACACCAAAAAAAGGCTCATTTATTTGAGACCGCAATCTTACGAGTCAAAATTTTTTGAAAATCACATTAACAAATGAGATATCTGCTAAGCACCAAACCAGCGCAATTGGATAAGAGAAGCGTTACTTTCCTCGGATGGCTCAAAATGCTTTGGAGTCACTGCGCTCTGAAAACGGTTTTTTTTTCTATTGATTCTGCGCTTCACATTTTTCATCCAAGTTCTGAACTTACCCTAGAGCTAGCTCGATTCGAGGCCCAAAATTCATCTTCTTTCCTCACAAAGAATTGCGATAAAGCAGCTGCATTGTTTGCATGACAATGTATCTGTGCTGAAGTTTCTGGATCTTGAACCCGAGCATCTTGGAGCCACGAAGCAGAAAACCAAATAAGGGTGTGATTACAACAGTAGATCAGTGATATTGGTGGAATGACGCTCGCGTGGCCGAAATAAACGCTCAACGTTGCTGATTTTCTCTAGCTAAATCTATTATATAATCTCAAGAACCTACATAATATGTGCTTACTTTATCGTAGGATCTCAGAAGCTAAGTTTTGAGGCTCGAAATTACGCTAAGTTAAGGATAAAGTCGGAACTTGCTTGGAAATCTCTCTTTCCACACTAGAGGTCATTGCCCGCAATGTAAAGGCATGGTCATCAACAAAGTCATCATAAACCTTTTCAAAAATTCATGTATCAATCTGCTTTCCGCATATAACATCACTTGAATTTTAGCACGCTCTTTTCTCATCTCGACGACTACTCCAACTTTTGTTTTATAGCGCGGTATTGGTAGAATAAAGTCCTGCTCATAATTTTTCTCAATTATTGCATCATTTCGCTTACGGTTAGGTAATTGGTTCTTCATCTGTAGACGCCTTCTTCATCTTCGTTGTGTTATCTCGCCCACCTTTAGTAACACATTAAGATCGTGATAACGTGACTTTGTTTGAATGGAAGGCAAAGGGGTATTGTAAATACATATTTGTATGTATATATACTCTCTCTCGCGACAAATTGCTACACGGCTAACATGCG